CAGTATATTTACTGCACTTAAAGGTCTTGTTCAATGTCTATACCAGATGAAGTCCCCTGCAAGGTACTGCGAGAGAAAATGTAATTCATCATCACAAACTAGTATAAATCGAAAAGATATAGCAGGCAAACAATGACATGACACTGTTGACCAGTTAAAGGTGCGAGTGTATGAGGGGAGGTGAGCCTGCACACACTACAGCAATCAAAGCCAAATCTGGCTCCTCTACCTGGTCATAAAACCACTATTTTACCTGTGTGAGTACACCGATTACAATTTGGTTTTGGTTTGCCAGCCTTGGAGTCTCTTTCTTGCAGCTTACGCACAACCTCTTTTGCCCCTTTGTTACCTGGTATTAACATATAATCTGTATCTGGATACATCCGGATAATGATATCCAATTCACAAATATTTGAATTTAGTTTAATAAGCATTCTCGGATCGCAGTAAGATAATTTGTTGGGTGGACTTGTCATCAAAGATGGTGTGTTCTAAGGTAAGGGATATCTTGGATGGGGATTATTCTTTTTTTTGCTGGGGGAAAGTTGCTAGCTAGCCATTTCTGAACACGCTGTGCCTTTACTGCCATCTGTGTTGCTCCAAATTTCAATTGATTCCACCATCCCATAACATTTGTTTAAAAATGACAGAAGCAGCCATAGCATTGACAATGGGGTGAAGTTGCAAGACTGGCACTAATCTAAAGAAATCTCTCTAGTATATGCTTTTCCAATCTTCCTTTGCCAAGCTGCAAACCAAATTCTGTTAATTAAATGCTGCATTGACTATTGGCAAAGCACATGCATGCATATTGTTTAACATGTTTGATGTTTTTTGATGAGAGGTTTACTGCTATACAGCTTATGTGGTATACGCAGAACTATCTGTGGCATTTTACTCATAAAATAACGACCAGCCCTGCTAAGGCTGTGTGGTTTCCTGAGTCAGCTCAGCTGCAGTAACGCTACTGTACAGAGCAGTTGCCACCTGGGTGTTAGTCTGCCTCATCAGTCTTCCTGAGAAACAGCTGCGTGAGCCAGAAACAACTAACTAATAAGAGAAGACTAAGATGACTTAAAATGGCTAAACACACAAACACAAAAGCAGAATCTGGAAATCTGCCCGAAACTAGCTGGTTGAGGGTTGAAATAAGAGAAAGTGGGGACACAACGTTGTCAGTTAAACAGAAGGCTAACCATGGCAACCCTGGTTAAATCCTGACGTGGAGGAGTGATGAGAAGGTGGACATTGCACACTCTGGTCCTCCTGTGTTTCCTGATCAAAGGAGGAGAAGGAAGGAACAAAGCAAACCGAGCCACCACAAAGCTTCCAGCAGAGCTGTGGTTTGTATTTTTCATGTTAACTGAAAGGCGACCAAAATGCCTTCAAGGATGTGGGGAATTTTCCTCTTCGGTGTCATGCCAGAACATTATGGTTGAAAGAAAGAAAAAAATAAAGGGGAAGACTAACAAACTAGTAAGTAAAGCAGAGAAAATGTGGCCAGCTGCTTTAGTCACTGACAGAAGAAAGAAAGCAATTAAAAAACAGTGGGAGATCCTAAAAAGTTTGCAATATTAGCTTTGGAGAGATCAAAGTAGCCATATTAAACTATCCGAAGGAGATCCAGTCAAGTCAACACACAAAAGTCCCTCATGGCTGCCAGCTCAAATACTGTCACTCACCAAGTGACACCTCTATTTGAAATCCCAGGGGAAGATTATTTTAGTCGCACACACAGATACACACACAGGTATCCATGGTGAAGCCCCCCTGCTCAGAAGCCCAGCAGTGTGTAACAGGCTGCTCGGATGACTGTGACAACTTGACGGTAACTCAGCATGTAGAATTTAGCACTGCATGGTATGGAGAGCTGGAACAGTGATGACCTCATTCCTCTGGCTGCATTGCCCCGCCCCTTTGTCCGAAAGAATGAACGCCGCCAACAATGGTGGCACAAGAGAGGTGTCCCATATCCAGACAAACCTCTCGCATAGTGATAACAGGAAGGGAGGTGTGTGTGTGTGTGATTCTTTGTGTGTTTGTGGTTCTGAGTAAAGCTATATTAAGGAATCGTAGAATTTGATAAAAATTTTATCAACTGTAAAACTAGGGATTTTTGTGGAATCTGCCAAATGTGGATGCATTTTATAAAAATTGGGGTTGTCCCTAGCTTCATAACCATTTTTTTCACAGCACTGAAGCCAAACCAACAGAAAAAAACCCCTTTTGTTAAGCAACTTGGTGTCATTTACTGGTGCTGCTTTTGTACTCTGCTCTCTCTGTTACCGAACGGCGGGACTCAGAGCCTCCTCGGTAGCATTGGGAGATGCAAGACACACGCTTGTTGTAGACTTTGTGGCTGTGTGGGCTGATTCAGATTATTATTATTATTTATTACCAGTAATCAACAAATAGCCTATTTAATAGAGGATAATTCACATTACATGGTTTGCAATGTATTCATTATGAATTGTCCCCTGTTAAATAGTATTGTAGTATTTTAATATCCTACTGTTGCAAAACATTTATTGTAAATCATCCACATAAATAATTGCATCCATATTTATATATGCATATTTGCATGATACATCAAATTAATTTCTATTGATTACATTTTTAATATTTGCTTATTGAGTTGTTGAACTTTAATTTATCCTCCACATAATTGCACACTCTTTCTGATGACAGAATGTGCTTAAATTGTAAAACAAAGAATAAAAATTAATAAAACGGTTTCAGGGCGCTATTAGGAGGAAATCAGCGATTCAGGAGAAAATCAGTGACTTAAGAAGTTTCGTTCAACATTAACCCAATATAATACTTAACAAATAGTTTCCCAGAGCTTTGGTGCTAAGGTCCAAACCAATGCACTAAGTCACATGCCAACGCAGAGCCCAGAGCACAGCCTGAGGGCCTGTAATGACAGGGAGCCGCCAGCCCATCAGTCAGACACACAAACCCTGGAGCTTTACAAGACTGATGTATGTTGGGATAAGTAAAAACTAAAAGGGAAACATTGGCAAACATGCTATTTAAAGAATCACACCCTTCAGATGAGAAACAACAGGCAAGAGAAACAAAAAGGAGAAACTCATGCTGCTGTTTCACAGTTTGACAGTGATGGCACACAGCAGAGAGGCTAAGGCTGTCTAAACACTGATACATTGTTATAAAGGTTCTGCTTATCACAGCGGTTCTTCTACATCAGAGATTCAAAAACAATTAGTCAGACCCAAAGTGGGCCACAGTCCTGTTTCTTGCGAGTCATTACTTTGTAAACATGTTCACATGTTCAGATCTAATATTGCACACACAGCGAGGTGCAGACTTAATTGCACTCTTCTTTGGTCCCTCGAACGTTTTGGGTTATCTTGCCTTCATCAGGGTGGACAACTTGACATGGACTTATAATATCAACTGTAAACAAGCTAATATCTTGAGTATGAGGTTTGTGGCACAGACCAGCTGAGCAGTGTGTCCAGGATGAAGACAACTCTCAGGATCAGTGCAGCAGGTCCAGTTCCTGAGAACCTGAAGTTTGACGCTGGCTGATTCTGCTTTACCCTCTCTCGCTCTCTTTTTCTCTCTCTCTGTCTCTTTGTCAGAGGGCATCAGCTCTATCAGGCAAGCCTCTCACCACCCACGCTATTAGGAGTGAAGAGAGCTCACCCTCGCCGCTTTCAGAACGCTGCTCCTCTCTGAAACACATAGCGATGCTGTCGTCCATCTCTGCATCATTATGTACTGATATATTGTTGAAACCAAGTGGAGACCACTGAAATAAATTATAACAAATCCACAGGGAAAAGTGAGCCTTTTAGTTACATTATCATTTTTTTGAAAGCTTCAGGTGCAAATGCAAAATAAGGATGTATGGCTGCACAAATCTAGCCCTCTTAAATAATGACATTAGGGCTGCAACTAATGATTATTTTCATTGACGATAATCTGTTGATTATTTTCTCTATTAATCGATTAGTTGTTTGGTCTGTAAAATGTCAATCAGTGTTTCCCAAAGCCCAAGAGGACGTCATATGTCTTGTTTTGTCCACAACCAAAAGATATTCACTTTACTGTCACAGAGGTATAATGAAACCCAAAAATATTTACATTCAAGAAACTAAAAAATTACTCAAACCTGTAAATTGATCATCAAAATAGTTGATTAATATAATAGTTGACAACAAATTGATTATTCAATTAACTGTTGCAGCCCTAATTGACATCACTATGGACTGAACTTTGTGTTTGAATTTGAATTTGTGTGCTTGGAAAAAAGTTACAGTGGTTAAAAAAAGAAATCAGTCCACAGTTTGGAGAAATAATGGCAGATAGAGCCAGAAAGTTACATAAGCACAGCATATCACCAGCCAATAATATTGAGAACAAGCTCAGTGTGGACAAAGGAACTTAACACTTCGATCCTTAATCCTTTGCCCGGTGTTTACAATGCTGGCGATGGCGCTGAACAGCCTCTCATTACCGTGCAATTACCAATTGACCATATGACGCTGGTGAACACCTGCCAGATAGGTAATCTTCTACTTGACCCCCTCAGTGACAGCAGATCTCTAAGACATAATCAGTGATGTCACGTCCTCTCTGACCTTGTGACCTTTCACACCCTTTGCACACTTTCTTCACACACTAATCTCCTGGGCTATGCAGCTGAACCCCATGCTGCCTGCAAGTGAGCTAAACCCCCTGCCAAACAAGACCAAAATGCAAACACACTTGCATGAAAGACAATCCAGTGATACCAAAATCCACAATTTTGCTTGCCAATCGAAAGTCAAAATACATTTGGATCTCCCTGGAGACGATAGCAACTGAAAAATTCATAATACAACTCCATTTGGTAGCATTTTAAAACACTAAAATTCACACTAAGCATGATCATCATGACACATGAAATGTTCAGAAACCTATCAATGAAGACAATAATGATAGTAAGGAGCTTTATATAAGCAAGATAAAAGGTCCATTTGAGGAAAACATACCTTGAAGCATGCAGCGGTATGCTGACTCAGAGATGGCATAGATGTGTGGAGGCATCTCGTGCCTCTTCTTCCCTCTGTACATCTCAATGATGTTTTCTGAATAGATGGGCAGGTTCTTGTAGGGGTTGATAACCACACAGAACAGGCCAGAGTATGTCTGTAATTAAACATACAAAACAGACAAACATGGGAAATTAATAAACAGTAAGGAGCAAAGAGAATCTGCAGCTCAACATCAGAATCACTGTATTTTCAAAACTATAAAAACACATTAACTGAGCTATGGCTACAGATAAACAGGCAAAATAAACTCTCACCAACCAGATTTAGAAGTGGATAGAAGGAGAAAATGTAAAACATCTGCAAGTTTACAGCTGTTTAAATCATCAATCCTGCATTCTATCTGTGAGAGACCTCAAGTCATTACCCACTATTTAGGAGCTTGACTACAGGGCAGTGATAGATACATGGCAGATTGACTTAATGAAACACTGAACAGACTCAACAAAATACCCTGAGAGCCCTAAAAAGAGTCTTCAAATCTAACAAAGCACTTAACAATGTACATGAATATTATTTGGTTACATGTTGCAGCAAGCAGCTTACACTGCAAACATTTAGTCAACTTTATGACTTGTGGGGTTGCATTTGGCTGTGTAATTAGCCCAAGGATCTCTCTCCAGAGAGTGTGTGTGGTATGAACGATTCTCAGCTATGCTGCAGGCTGAATCGACCAGGCAGCAAGGCAGCTAAGAATGAGTGAGAGGCCCTGGTGGGGCAAAGGCTCTCTCTCATTCTGGAGATGTTATGGGGGCTTTGCATTCCTCCTATAGACGCCACAGGGGAGTTGCTTAACAGTACCATGACTTTCATCACTGGGATGTAGCGGCCTACGCAAATGCCCACCTGTACTTACCTCACTAGCAACCTACAAACAGTACGTAACGTGAACCTTAACTACAGTTACATGCAGATGTACACAAAACTTTAAGAAGAGTGAACACTGAAGTAATGGAGAGCTACAACTGGAAGTTAGTCAATTAGTAAAAATGTGTAATTGCCAAATTGATAAATCATACAATCAATGACATGTGGATTAAACCACCAACAAAAAGACACATATCACACAGACATACGCTTGATGCATGTTTAAAGCAGTCAGGCCTATGTGGCTGGGGGCCCCGGGGATCAGAGTCAGCCGGCTCCCTGCTGGCTTCAAGGTCAGGGTGACAGACATTTCTGTCTCCTTTTGGGACCAAACATACACTCTACAGACTTTTCTTTCTTTCTGTCTTTTCTGTCTTCTGTCTTTTTTTTTTAACAAGGAACCATTGAATTACAAAACTAAAAAATCAGGAGTATAGGAAAGGAAAATTACAAGCACAATCTGCAACATGTTAGTTGCTTCTTTTGACTGCCAGTCAAGTCACTGGAGTTCATAAAAAAGCGCATGTTCTCTACAGACTGCAGTCTGTAATAAAAGACTGGGCCACTGTTTTAAAGAGCTTTAATTCATTCAATGGCTATTTATTCTGTTACCCTTTCTTGTTACTCCTGCTTCAATAAATGGCATCATACCATACTACAGCACCGCCAATAACCAACTATTTAATATTTAGAAAAACTATGTCCTACAGTCATCTTTTCACATCAAAGCATCAGGCATCGTGACATCGGCTTCATAACTGAAACTACATCCAAGGCTGAGGGAGGCATGAGTGACTCAGCAGCCATAGGTTCACTAAGGGGAGCAGACGTTACGTAATTCAGATCAGTAAGGGCCCTCAGTCAGCACTGATGCTCTGTATTGATAGAGAAAAGAAAAAATGTATAGGGGTAGAAAAAAGAAAGTGCGGAAGGAGAGAGAGGCAGACAGAAACAAAGAGAGGAGCAATGATAGAGCTGACAGGGTTCCCTCAGGTCCAATCCAGTGGAGAAGAGCAGAGCTGGTAACAAACAGTGAACCGTGATCTCAGCCTTTCTGTAAATTGTTCCCAACGTGACGGGGGTGGGGGAGAGAGAGAGAGAGAGAGAGAGAGAGAGAGACCGGGCCTGCTGAAATTCTAACTCTCCACTCTCCTTTTCCAGGCTAATGAAAAATGTATTCCCCCTTATCTGGAAACTGGAGCTGCTATAAATAGGGGGTGTGTTCTGTTCTCTTTCGTCCTGCAACATGCAGCACTGAAGCAGCTGGCGAGGCCGCAGAGAGATACCTGGAATCTAGGTTCAATGTGGAGTGTCCCAGGTAGCTAAAGGGTGCAAGGGGGGCATTGTAATGTGAGGCACCATATACATGCATATGTTTTATTTGGTTAAAACTGCACAGAGCACTTCACCCCTCTTAAACAGAGTTGGCATGGTGCATCCATGTTTGCTTGGGAAACTTAACCTGATCTCTAAAAACAACAACCCAACAACTTATTTAAAGTTAAAGGTAGAGGTCCCTTATCAATCCCCCAATTTCTGTGACCAATTACACAAAAATGTCTCAAAACCAAAAAGAAACAAGGAGTACTTTTATGCATGCTTGTTGCACTCCAGGAATAATTGGAAAACTCTTGCAGGATCATTGCAGTATAAAGAACATTTACTACCACTGTTGCCAGCTAGCACGGCAAACTCAACACCGGTTGCCAAACCAACATGTCTGGCCCAGTCCAGGAAAGAGAAGGTGATATTTCCACTGTGAAATCAGATCCAGGGGAGGGGATGCTGTGGCCCAGTAACAGCTGAGCAACACACAGGCAACAGCAGACACAACAGCCGACCCCATCTGCCATCTCTAATCAGTCAGGCAGCGTGCCTATATGGATAGGCCCCTCTCCATTGCAGAGGCTAAAGAGGGCACTCTGGGTGCAGAAGCAGCCTCGGTACCATTAATCTGTGTGGCGTATAGAAGACCTTGACCATTCCCTCGACAGATTTCATAACAAAGCTTGTGAACACTTCAGACAAGGGTTTTGAAATATGATCAGTACACCAAGACACATGGTATCAAATAACATGAACAGTAGCAGGACACTCTCTGCTGCTTTAATAAATTGGAAATTCTTGTCCAATGAATTTTAGAGCAGGGTGACCCTTGGCTTAAAGCTTATACTACAATGTATTAAGAATGCAGTGTGAATGATGCTTCTGTTTGTCAAAGAAGGTGACATGAAAAGCAGACAAAAAAGTGAAAGGTTACATCAGGGCCCTGTAAATTTGAATAGAGACTTTAAATCAAACATGTAAAACCTCTCTCTTCGCATGGATCTGAGCATGACTGTGCATTTTTGTTTTCAATTGTTTTTCTGTGCTGATTTTACCTGTTGCCCTGCAGCAGGTCCAGCATTAGAAAGTAAAACACATTTTAAGCAGGAAAACAAATGGGAGAAGTTTGGCTTGCACGCAGCTATCATTTAAATCTCAGAAATATTAAAATGGCATAAAAAGTAAAGATGTAAAAAATAAAATGAGGTCTAGATTCAAGAAAGATGCAAGGACACAAAGTGCATGTCACTGTTGTCCAGGACCAGTGAGGCAGGCAAGAGGAGAGAAGCAGAGGGAGTGTGGGAAAGGGAGTAGAGCTGGTGAAGACAGGACAGACACTGAGCAGCAGCAGGGCTGAAGTGGGCGGCAGGAGACAGACAGACGGACGATCTTTTTGCCATGGAAGAATGCTGAGGCTTTCTGACAGCTGAGGCTTATCTAGCGGCACAAAGGCCTGCTTGTTGCCTCGCTAGTGTGGGGTAGCCTAGTGTGTAGCACTGCAGTTAGCCTGTGACTCACCACCTCACAGAAAGCAAAACTGCTACAATAAATGAGTTGGCTCAACAGGCGGGCCGACTTCACACGGATGGAGCAGTCATAGGATAGACAGAAGGATGCTTAAGTGGCAATAAGTACCATTTACATAATTACAATAATAAATGTGTGTGGGGGATGGATAGAGAAGCTGATCAGTACCACTGACAGGTATGACTTTGAAAATTCACTTGATGTACGCCAACACATTCACTTGCATTTCCAAAAGTTCAACAGTGGAGGACAAAAGAAAATGACATAACTGAGATATTTCCACTGTCAAGGCTTGATCTCAAGCAAAAGACAACAAACCTGTCTTATTATAGTATCGTGTGTGGTGCGATATTGCTTCGTTTTAGTTTTTTGTTTGACCTTGGTTCAAATAGTTTGGTACAACTGTCTCTATGTCACAAATGCGCACATTATTTGTTCTTATTACAAGGGGACTGAGAGCATAACATCCCCTTTAACATCTGAAAGTAAAGTGACCTATGGACTACAGCATGCATGCCCAATTAAATGAAAATGAAATGAAATCTAAAAAAAGGTAAAACTATACGTAAAGAATCGGTGCAGACTTGCCACAGCTTTTCCTAAGCAGACTCAAGCCAATATATGCTGATCACACTATGATTCACATATGGAAGTCTTCCCAACCATCTTAACTAAGAACACAGCCTGGGGGAGGCATTATATTATGTCTGCAGTAGATGTAGCTGAGCTCTGGGGGTAAGTCAAATACCGTGGAAAAGGTTTAGAACAGGGGGTTTCTTCTTCTAAGAGCGAGCGCAATGGGAAAATCCTCTTCCTGATCGAAAACCAGCACAGTCAGAAAGATGTTTTCAATTTCTCTTAGCCGCCAGGCAAATTAACAAGCTCCAAAGCCAATTTCAGAACCATGAAAAAGCAGAAACCATGACACTATGGTATGAAAGAGAAAATGAAGACGACCCTAGGAGGGAACTGGGGGCAGATATGGGAGAGTGATGATACCACCTTCTCTGAAGCATTCAGCTCTCACTATACCACATGACTAAACTGAAACACTCACCTTTTGGCGTATGTAAAGTAATGAGTTAACGTACAAAAGAGGGTAGACTTCAGCTGAGAGCCAGTGGTGATGCTGTAGCACGTCTTGTAAGGAGGATACATTTTAAGAGCAACAATTCCCCCTTCAGTCCCTGAACCAGTCTCTCAGGTGATAACCAACCCACATTCTATTCCTGGAAAACATGTCAGTAAATGGGTCAAGATCACAACTACATCTTCACAGAGGTAAAACTGGATTATGGGATCAGTGGCGATGCAGTGATACAGACCACCACAAATGTTAGCTGTGATAACATATAGAAGCATTTCATAATACATAATTAAGAGATTAGTCAAGAAAATCACTTGACTGACCATAATGACACAGGTCAACAACATTTTTGACCACAGATACCAGAGCTTTTCCTACCTCCTTACAAGCTGAGTGCATTTACTGAGTCTTGAACTGCCATGAGGATGGCGATGGAGGTGACAAAATCATTCTGTTACACCCCACATTTAGTTTAGTTTTACAGAGTGAGATTGCCACAGGTGAGAGCGCGAGGTCATGCCTTCTCTGTGATCAAAAAAGTCCCACCAGTACGAGCACCAAGCACGATAAACAAACAGAAGCTAGTAGTGTTTATGGAAGAGGCCTGCCTTTGGTTGAGGTGAGAAAGAAGCAGTGGGGGGAGGGTAACAATATGTAACCTAGAGGCTCTAAGGACAGAACATCCAGTGAAGGTGAAAGTCTGGCAGTGGTTAAAAGACTAGCGAGATCTGTCACTCATACTGTGTGCAAATATGTGTGTGTGGTCAGGATTCCTTCATGGCAGCAAGAGGCTCAATGCCCTCTCTGTCTCCAAACAAAGACTGATATATATCAGATCTTATGTTCACATAAGAGTGCAAAAGACAGGCAGCTAAAAGTTAAGACAAGAGAGCATACAGGCAGAAATACTGCCCATCATTTCACAATCATAACAACTAGGGGTGAAATTCAATCTACAGCTGCGAGAACCATGGGATCTGTGTGTATGTCACTCACGTATATGAGTCCCGAATAGTAGCGGTCCTTCAGGTTATGCAGCACAGACGCCTCGTTCAGGCAGGTGAGCTCGGCCATGTCTTCCACCTTGCTAAACTTGGGCGGGTTCATCTTCTGGATGTCATCCTTGTTGATCACCACCTTCTTACCGTTCTCGGCCAGCTCCACCAGCACCTCCTCGCCACGCTCCTCCCGGATGCTGGCCGCCTCAAAGCCATGGCGCTCTGAGGGGACCCACACGAGCTTCTTGGCCGTCCAGTCAGCTTGTGTGGCCGGGTTATAAACCACAGCCCGGTCCACAAACAGGTACCGCTCTGGGTCCTCTTGCCCACTCCGATGAGACATTTTACTTGGGGTTTACCAGAGCAACGTGGCCACCTAGAACAGACAGGGGTGCAGGGATAGGAACCTTAGACCTTACATGCAGGACACAAATTATCAGTAACAGAATCCACACCTCATGTGTCTAATAGCCCTTGACATCTCCCCCATATGATCAGCACAGACTACTTAATAAGGGGTAATGGTGTTTACCTTCATGGTAACAGTGTCACTAATACGTTCTGCATTCTCTGTAATGCTTATTCCCTTTTGTAACTGACTATACATATTTAGTAACAGTAGAACAAATCTCACTGTGTGACAGAAAGCATGAATCAAAATAAATCTCCTGCACTCCTATCTGCTATAACAAAGTAATACACAGTGAGGAGGGGATACCATATGTCACCAGTGCAGAGCAAGACTAGTGCTGCACGGTGACACCAAAGTTGGACTACATTTTAATGTTTAGTGTAGGTCTGGTCTCACTGAATGGGTCTGCACAATAGCAATGCGCATACTGCGTAGTCTTCACCGCTCTCACAGCAGATCAGACAGGACGTACTGGTCCCCTTCTTCATCTAGAAATATCTTGCGATAATGGAAATAATGCACGGTAACACATATCCCTGCCGTCCAGATAATATATACAACCTGCACTACACCATACAGATGGAGTTTATACAACAGATATGATGACTGTGCACTGGCAAGTGCCCAAAAAGGCACGGAAATCAGCAGGGGGAAACTTGAGGCTCAAGTCCTGTTTACAAATATTAGGGCTAAAGTTAACGTCAATTAATCTGCGCTAAAAAACCCCCTGCGCAATTGAGATAGCTAAATTAGGTAACCGGAGTGTGCCATGATAAATAACGTGACGCTAGCTCAAAGTCCAGTTATCATGAACGACCGTTAGGATAAACGAAAACAATTAACGTTAGCCTCAGAGGGAAAATGAGTGTCTGCCGCGACGCTTTGTTTAACTTAAACAAAACTGAACCCATAAAGCTAGCATAACCCCAACTAACGTTAGAGAGCACTTACTCTGAGGTCTGACCTGATAAGCATGTCTGTAGGTGTTCAAACACCCCGCAAGGTAACGTTAGACTGCAGGCTAGCTCACGTTATAAGACGGGCTCTTAAATCACTAACCACACACTGACTATGGTCAAACTAAGTTTCCAGAGCGATGTCCATCCTCCATCCCGGAGACTGGTCCGTCCATCCACAGTGATGGTCCAATATGCCCCCACGCGCTCTCTCTCTCATCCCCCCCTACCCCACGTCCTCGCGGCCAATAACACTCACCTGGTGTAGTCAGCGAAGCAGCAGTCCGATCCCGTTCACCAGGCAGTCCGATATCCCCCTGAAGCGACCCTGTATGCGACTGGCGGCTACACACAATTAAAACGCAGGCATGTATTTAGGGTCCGGTATGCACCACAGGCACAGTGTGTGCTGCCTCTACACTGGGGCCCCTCCTAAACCGAATGAGGCTTGACCGCTGCTGCTGCTCCCGCCTACGATGGACTGTGCTCAAATAGAGTGGCCACGCAGATCAATACACCACACTGTGACACACTGTGCGGGATGATTCACATCAGCACAAATGCGGGTTATTGTGTGTGCTGAGGCATGCAATCATCTATTTTAACTCACGAGTAAACGCTTTGAGCATTTTATCAGGACATTATGCTGCGTTAAAAGCTTTTTTAAAAATAAAATCTATTCCCCAAATATCTATGCATGGCACACACCCACCAGATGAAGCCTGCAGACAATTGGGCTCTCACTTCCCCTCTCTATCATTGGCTGGAAGGAACCAGCCTCCCCAAATTTTGTACAACCCAATGAAGAAATTATAGATATTGCAACTGTTGCATGTCTACATTACATAGCTTCCAAAATTACTTGCATTATCACTGCTGAGCTTTCCGGTACCGTCTGATACCCCACAGGTCAGTTTGAACCAAACATCCTTTGATAAAAAGGAATAAAAAAAACAAACTCAAAAAACAAAACAGGAATCTAGTTTTTGAGAGAAGACCATATAGACCTTTATCCCATTTAATAGGTAATAATTGTTCCTGTCTTCCTGCTGTAAATTCAAACACCGCCCTCTTGTGTCTGAAAGCGACAACAGCAGCATTTTATGCTCAACAAAACTCACGCGATCATACATCACCCCTACCAAAAACACAAGCTTTGGGTTTTTACAGAGGCATTTTATTACAAATGGAACAGTCTGACAGAGGGGCAGGAAAGGCATGTTTTCTTTCATTAAATAGTCCGTACTAAATGCTGGAAAACATGCTGTTGGTGCATCTAGTTTTACATCAAAAACAAGAAAGGCATGTATGTTGCTATGTGCAGTCTGTTAATGTTGGAGGCTTCAGCGTCCTCCCCTCCAGGCTGCTCCACCCCTCTTCTTCATCCCTCCTCCACCACGTCCTCCTCCTTGTCCTCCTCCTGATCCCCCTTTCACCTTCTTCCTCACTCCGCTTGCTTGTTCTGTGTCATCCTCGTCTCCGTCTCCTCCTCTGGGCCTTTTCCTTTTCTCACCTTGCTCCTTCATTTCCTGTGCAAGACAAGACATTTTTCCCCCTTAACTTAAAGTCCCGATGTGACCTCCATCTTTCTTTAAAAGCTGTGATTCCCAACCCTTTTTTTAAAAACTACCCCACACAGCCTTATCAGATGAACCACCAGAAGAGTCCAGCCATGTTCCAAATGTGTTCATGTGAACTGATTTCAAACTGGACGTTATTTAACATTATTAACAGTATAAAATCAGATAATTTGAAATATTGTTTAATCTCAGTAACTTTAGTACTTTCAGTCTATTTCTAAAAACTTCAGTTTGTCTGTTTGAGAGGACAAGGACAAGTTATTGGGACAGTAAAGTACATCTTTCTGACAGGTTTCGTAAAACACATCCTTAAAGGCTAAGTTGGGTATTTTGCAACCTGGACCCTATTTCCCCATGTTTTGGTGTCTGTGACCAATTGGGACAACGTTTTTTTAATTGATCCAGCATTGAGCGAGCACAGGCAGCAGTGAACTGGGGCTTCAACATAATCCTTTCAGGCAATTGCTCCCCCTCATGTATGTCCACTGAAGCGCTTGTTTTTGCCACTGACAGGCTTTTTATTAAAAGTATTTGATAACATAATGAAATGATACCTACAGAGTTGGACCTTTATTTAAAGAGTGAGAACCTTCTTGTTTAACCAAAAACGTCACACAATTACCACTGCCTTTATTGGTTAGTTTGTGTTATTTTGCGACTTTGATGTTAAAAAGTGGCACAATAACACAAACTAACCGACCAAGGCAGTGGTAGACCAGCAACTCCCATGTTCTGAGAGGTACAATTACGGTCTTGGTGGCTTTGAGAGCAACACAATGACGGTTTCTGGACACAATCTCTGTAGGGATCCTACATTATTTTCATAATAACAATAACAAACAATAAAAAACTGAGCCTGTCATTGGCAAAAACAAGCACTACAGTGGACGCACTTTGACAGGACGCAATTTCCGGCACAGATTACGTTGCAGCCCAGTCTAGCTGCTGCCGGCTGCAGCTTCTGTTCAAGTTGTGGACTACTTTTTTTATTGTCCCAATTAGTCAACACAAAAACATGGGAAAATAAGGTCCAGGTTTAAAACTTAGCCTTTGACAAGGGTTAGTAACGAGCAACATTTTAACTACAGTATAAGAAGGGAAATTTATAAAGATAAAATTAATGAGGGCTTGGAAGGCTAACGAGGGTTTATGCAGCTCGTTTTGCGTTACATGCTTGAGGTAACACCGGTACAACAATTGCGATCACACAGTAAACATGACTTACCAGCCTGGCAAATCTCTGGGCCTCGCTCACTCTCTCCACCAGCATCATCACTTCATCTTCTTGCGTAGGGAAGGCAGGAAGTTTCTTCCCAATCAGGGTTTCAATTCGCTGGAAAAGCTCCACATCATATCTAAGATAACAGAATATGTCAGTTTACTGCAGTCAACTCCATTTCACTTATTTACTTTCAGCATAAATAGCAAGAAGAAAGGCTGTACACAAGCACACGTCTGAGTTTAATATTAATAATAAAAAATAATAATAAATCACTGTGGAAGAAAAAATTTTAAAAATCCAATCCAATCAAATATCAAGGCATTGTACAGGATGTGAGGCTACTTGTGTGAAACAGACAATTCTTACTGAGTGACAAAAGTGATGGATTTCCCGGACCGTCCTGCTCTAGCTGTTCGTCCGACTCTATGGATGTAGTCCTGTGAGGGCAGACAGATCCAGAGATCCGTTCAAATCAAATCAAACAAACAAAATCATCAAATAAAGCAGCAATGTGAATGTCAGCATCAAGGTACCTTGGAGTGAGTGGGGATGTCGTAGTTGATTACGCAGTCCACGTGAGGAATGTCCAGTCCTCTGGATGCCACATCAGTCGCCAGCAGCACCGATCGAGACTTGGACTTGAACTTGTTCAGGGCTCCTAGACGTTTGTTCTGACCAACAAAGAGAGAAAGATCCAGAGAGTGAATATGAAATTACATAAACAACAAAAAAAAGACACTGCAGAGAAGCGTTCCCTCTGCTCTGCCTCCACTTTTACCGATTTACAGAGTTTATTTGTTACTGGTTACTTTAGCTGCTAACTACTGCTAACAGCAGCTGCTACTAAGTAAGCTACTGAGTTAGCCGTGCAGCTAGCCGTCCTATTGCCGATTCTGCCAAGACTGGAAGCTTGGTGCTCCGGGGTTGTTTTGGTGTTTACACCTCTAACATTACTACAGAAGTTTTGGACCGCTGGTTCAGAGCCAGATGATAACAGGAGCTGTTAATACAGCTAGTGGTGAGCAGTCCATAGCGTTAGCACCAAGTAAAGCTTTCTGTCCATCAGGAAACTTCATAAATCAGAGATGAGGCAGAGCAGCCAGAGGAAAAAACAGAAAATACTTACCTTTCCTAACCATAAAAGCACTTTCTGTGAGACACACTGCACAATCTACAGCTGTGGGTCACGTATGACCTCTAACTCTGGAACGCCGGCTGGTCTATGTAACTTTGGGGGCGTTACGTAACCAGGGTTTCTGCAGGTTTCACCTGGTCAAATTTAAGACTTTTTAACACCACTATGAATGAAATTTAAGACTTATATCACGACATCAAAAAAGAAACATACAAAGGAAATGCAGTCACAAAATTACTTGCAGACTAAATAAATATATTAGGGTTAATAATTAGGGTTGAGCATTTGGACCATGTCTACAATGAAACATTGTGATGGATGACGACATTGATAAGCTACGTAATTAAGAATCTGGCATGTGGTGCACCTGCTGCCGTTAAAAAGGATCACGGACGACGAAGTTCTGTGTCTTTTCGGCGACTTTATAAAACGTAACCTGGAGAAACAGACAGGAAGAGAGAGACAGAGAGATGCGAGGACAGATTGTGTGTTTGCAGTGAGAGACCAGAGGTAAAGGAGTGTGTGAGTGAGTGCACGGAGAAGTTGAGACAGGTGCAAAGCAGACATTTACAAATAATAAAAATAATGTCCATTAGGATTAAAACATTCGTTCACAGGGCGGTATGATGTAAAATAATTAAGATGGTATTTTTGTGTTGGGGGTTTGTTGGTCATCCGCAAGATTTATGTTTTCCAATAAAGAAATATTCAAGTCCACATAATTTTGAAACATTGTTATTACCACATCTGTGAATAACAAGTCAGAAAATCTAGAGCAGATTTTGAATATACTACACCCCAAAAGCTAAACTTGCTAAATAAGTCTACTGGGTTTGACTTATGACCATTAGATCTGGGAAAAATTCATCTGATTAGTTTTGATGCTCTCCACAATGATTTTACATTCATTTGTACATCAAAATCGAAAAGAATATTTGCTTTAACATTACTAACCTAAGCTCCTCCGTGGTCACCACCGTCCTTTCTAGTTAATTTAACTATCAAGATGTACAGTAGAGGACAGAGCTCTAACCTGACAACTTAATGCTGATATTATCCTCCGCTAACTTTCAACGTCACTTTCTGCTGCGCTCTCTCTCTCACATTCGCTCGTCCTTTGAAGAACGAGGAGAGGGAGACAGCCATGAGTTCAGTGTTACTGTAGCTTACTGAAAATCATTGATAATCGTGTGAAATTTTAATAGTGGCGCTCATTCATTAATCAGCGACAGTGGGCTTCAAATACGTTGCTATTAACCAAGATGATGATGTTTATGACATTTCATTGCAAAAAAAAAGTAAACCATGGCACCATAAATTCAATCAACTATGTTTGGCTGCACCAAAGAATGCTTTTCCTAATGGTATAATAATGCAGGGCTGCAACTAGCAGTTATTTTCATTATCAATTAATCTACCCACTTTTTCTCAATTAATCGCTTGGTCATTCATTGGTGTGTGTGTGTGTGTGTGTGCGCGTGTGTGTATTCCTCTGAAGCTCTACCTGGCTCATCTGGCCATGAAGAGGGATAGCAGTGATGCCAAGGTTCCTTAACAACAGCGCCACTCGCTGGGCACTGTTGCACGTGCTGCAGAAAATTATAAATGAGTTGCCGGCCAGCTCGTTCAGGATGGAAACCAGGTAACAGTCCTGCCACAAAGCAAACACAAGCACAAAATGGTGTCACAAACTCCAATACGGGGTGGTGATGGCGTAGTGGATAAGACATGCCTTTGGCGCGAGAGACCTGGGTTCGAATCCACTGTGAGACACCAATGTGTCCCTGAGCAAGACACTAACCCCTAGTTGCTCCAGAGGCACAAGACCTCTGACATATATAGCAATTGTAAGTCGCTTTGGATAAAAGCGTCAGCTAAATGAATAAATGTAAATGCAATATACTTTGTGTATTAAATACATTTTAAAAAGTGATGCGGTATTCTGTGGACAGGGGAGGGACAGCTTGCAGCATTTGGTTTCAGACATTAAAACATGTAACAAGAATAAGTACATTTCTCTGTGCCCTACCTTGTACTTCGATGGTATGAAGACATAGTACTGCTGCAGTTTGTCTACTGTAGAGTATTTAGTGGATACCGCACACTTCACAGGATCTTTCAGAGCTGCTCTCTGTAATTTCTGAACCTGTAAACCAAATGAAAGCACGTCAGCGTGACACAAACACATTCCCCACAGGTGGCATATTGCTTTGGTGTCTAGCAACCAGCAGCACATAACAAAGAAGGACTACAAACACTATGGCTCACATGCTGTGTCAACTAGGCCTGACTAAAAGCCTTCTCAGTATTGACTACGTGTTTGTCTACCTTTTTGGTCATGGTGGCAGAGAACAAGAAGGTGCGTCTCTCCCGGGGAATCACCTTCAAGATTTTATCCACCTGGCAAAAGAACAAAAACGTACATAGAGGAAAAATAAAAATGTCGGCCATTTCATTATTTTTGTGGCAATGATGAATATTTTTCACTCAAATGATCATGTTTAATCAAATACAGTGAACGTAACAAAATGAAGCATAGGGGGAAACTGTTGCACTGAATTAATGCAATGACACTAGGGCTGGGCAATAAAACAATAATGATATTTATCGCAATATAAATTTCCTCAATAACAATATAATAAATGTTCAATATATTGTCAATAAATATTTGGTTTAATTCATTTGAATCACACAACAAATTAGCACTTAATCTTTCTATTAACAGTTATTTTGTTGAGGACAAGCGACTGAAAAAAGATTTTTTCAACATATTTGTTGAAAAAGATTTTATCATAATAGTTTGGCATCAAGTCTTTCTGACCTTAAAGAAAGTTTAACCACATAATTAACCACTGGTGTCTTCAATTTTCACTCATTCAAAAATCAGCCTTAATTTGGCATATAACTTGATAATTATCGATATCTAATGATATGAAATGTTTTTATTGTGATAAAATTTTTGGCCATATAGCCCAGCCCTAAATGACTCCCAATAACTCAAGAGTTTCTAACTACATACCTCAGTCTCAAAGTCCATGTTGAGGATTCTGTCTGCCTCGTCCATGACCAGGAACTTCAGAGCTCGTAGGGAGAAGCCCTTTGTGTTCTCCATGTGGTCTATCAACCGACCCGGTGTAGCTGTCAACACATTTGATTCACTTAATCACATTAATGCTAAAATGATCAGCTGTTGACTATCAAAATGAATGGAGAAAAAAAAAATCAGTTTATGATCTGACAGAAAACTTTCAATTAACTTTGACCCAACATTGTTCATTTCAATAGAAAATGGATACCTGTGCTTGCTTAGCGAGTTTGCCAGATTAAATAGGGACTTAACAGTATAATATGGGTAACTTGAATATTGGTTGTTTGAAAAATATATAATGTATGTTGTATGTATAAACAAGACAACATTTATAATGAACAACCATTATAACATTGGTTCAGCAGAAGCAAATACACACACACACGACCATGTAGTGACAGTTAATTTGCTACAATTCATAACATCGGTGTAAAAAAACAAACACTGATCATAGATTTACTTATCATCTTACCAATAACAATGTGTGGTTTTTTAGCCAACACCAAGGACTGGGACATCATATCGATTCCTCCAACTATGACAGCTGCAACAGAGATGAGTCTGAGTTTAGTTTTAGATACAGATGACTTTCTATGGTTCTGTATCACTGCAAACCTGTAAAACCCTTTCAATGGACACATACCACATTTAACACCAATGCTGGAGCCCAGGGCCTCAAACTGCTCAGAGATCTGAAATGCCAGCTCCCTGGTAGGGGTGAGGACGAGGGTATGAAGCCTCTGGGGGGAGTCCAGCAGTGACTGGAGGATGGGCAGAGCAAAGGCGCCCGTCTTTCCTGAACCTGTCTCTGCCAAGCCAATAACATCCCTCCCTGCAGAATGAGACGAAGTTGCAGACGGATGTTATAGAAGTTATGTGTATTGAGCAACGGAGGGAAGTAACTGTACATTTACTCAAGAACTGTACTTCATCAGTACAATGATGAATGATAATTTCCATTTTATTTTGCTCTGTAATTCTACTCCATAATTTGTCAGAGAAACATATACTGTACTTTTTCCTCACACATTTATTTGGCAGATAGTTATAGTTACTTTGCTGATTAAGATGTTAAAAACCTATAATAATTCCTACAAAGTATCACCAGAAAGCCATGATGACAGGTGCGTCGGATTAAGAAAAACTGTGAAAAGTAAACAATCCTGCACAGAAAAATCTACAAACATATAAAACGCATGATGCATTGTTATACTGTACATTAAACCACCCAGCAGCAAGTAAATAAGTAGAAATACATCCACTACAGCCAGCTACAACCTTTAAATGATGCTTAAATAATCGTACAATAATATAGTATATAATAACGTAACACAGACAGGACTCATTCTGCTGCATGAAGACTTTATCATTTACTATGACGGGCACATCTGATGGGCTGCACAGAAAACAGTGGCAGGAACCTTCTCTGATGCAGTCAGCTGACAGAAAGAGGGCACTGACTGTGATCACCCACCTTGCAGGGCTACAGGTACAGCTTCTATCTGAATCTTTGTTGGACTTTTCCATCCCAGCTGATCACAAGCCTCACAGAGAACCTCGGTGACACCCTGTGGACGCCAAAGACACCGTGTAGAGACATTTTAAAGTAGCTCTTAATGTTTTGCGCCCCAATCACAACCGTTCTTTACACGTTATAAAATACCAGACACATTTCATTCGATAAAAATATAGATGGAACTAGCTGTGTTTAGCTAGCTTAACAGCTGTAATACTGCTTGTTTAGGCTAAAATTACATCTCTTCTTCGCTCTCCGAGATGAACCTACCAGATCCTTGAAGGTCTTCACTGCCTCATCATTTTCGCCACTATTTAAGTCACCGTTTTCATCGCTACTCGAACCTTCGAGTGTTTCATCTGTGTTTGGGTTCACGCTTTCCTCAACGTCCGCCATGTTTTTCGCCCCAACGTGTCGTCAGCTCCGCAAGGCGCAGATGCGGAAACAAGATCCAGAATAAGCCGCAATGGATGACGGGAATTGTTGTTTTAAATACTTCCTTTTTGTCAGCTTTTGTCAACCCGAAATATCGTCCTAAAAGTTTTAAAAAATGATTAAAGTCACTAAAATAAATAAATATATTGATATTGTAATTCAGTGATTATATATTTTATGTTACAAACATTTTAATACACATTTAATTATCTGTTAAGTTGTGTGTGTGTAGCATGAAAGGACTTTTCTTGTTATACAACCTTGCAATAGGTTGCACCTTGCAATGTGTTATAAAATGACAAATATCCAACCTTGTACATTGAGAAAAAAAGGAACATTGAATTGCTGACCAGCAGAATTTCAGATTTGTCCTCCCCAGATATGAATCATACTGAAATTAATTGTATATACACTGCTCAAAAAAATAAAGGGAACACTTAAACAACACAATGTAACTCCAAGTCAATCACACTCCTGTGAAATCAAACTGTCCACTTAGGAAGCAACACTGATTCACAATCAATTTCACATGCTGTTGTGCAAATGGAAAAGACAACAGGTGGAAATTATAGGCAATTAGCAAGACACCCCCAATAAAGGAGTGGTTCTGCAGGTGGTGACCACAGACCACTTCTCAGTTCCTATGCTTCCTGGCTGATGTTTTGGTCACTTTTGAATGCTGGCGGTGCTTTCACTCTAGTGGTAGCATGAGACGGAGTCTACAACCCACACAAGTGGCTCAGGTAGTGCAGCTCATCCAGGATGGCACATCAATGCGAGCTGTGGCAAGAAGGTTTGCTGTGTCTGTCAGCGTAGTGTCCAGAGCATGGAGGCGCTACCAGGAGACAGGCCAGTACATCAGGAGACGTGGAGGAGGCCGTAGGAGGGCAACAACCCAGCAGCAGGACCGCTACCCCCGCCTTTGTGCAAGGAGGAGCAGGAGGAGCACTGCCAGAGCCCTGCAAAATGACCTCCAGCAGGCTATAAATGTGCATGTGTCTGCTCAAACGGTCAGAAACAAACTCCATGATGGTGGTATGAGGGCCCGACGTCCACAGGTGGGGGTTGTGTTTACAGCCCAACACTGTGAAGGATGTTTGGCATTTGCCAGAGAACACCAAGGTTGGCAAATTCGCCACTGGCGCCCTGTGCTCTTCACAGATGAAAGCAGGTTCACACTGAGCACATGTGACAGACGTGACAGAGTCTGGAGATGCCGTGGAGAACGTCCTGCTGCCTGCAACATCCTCCAGCATGACCGGTTTGGCGGTGGGTCAGTAATGGTGTGGGGTGGCATTTCTTTGGGGGGCCGCACAGCCCTCCATGTGCTCGCCAGAGGTAGCCTGACTGCCATTAGGTACCGAGATGAGATCCTCAGACCCCTCGTGAAACCATATGCTGGTGCGGTTGGCCCTGGGTTCCTCCTAATGCAAGACAATGCTAGACCTCATGTGGCTGGAGTGTGTCAGCAGTTCCTGCAAGAGGAAGGCATTGATGCTATGGACTGGCCCGCCCGTTCCCCAGACCTGAATCCAATCTGCACATCTGGGACATCATGTCTCGCTCCATCCACCAACGCCACGTTGCACCACAGACTGTCCAGGAGTTGGCAGATGCTTTAGTCCAGGTCTGGGAGGAGATCCCTCAGGAGACCATCCGCCACCTCATCAGGAGCATGCCCAGGCGTTGTAGGGAGGTCATACAGGCACGTGGAGGCCACAAACACTACTGAGCCTCATTTTGACTTGTTTTAAGGACATTACATCAAAGTTGGATCGGCCTGTAGTGTGGTTTTCCACTTTGATTTTGAGTGTGACTCCAAATCCAGACCTCCATGGGTTGATAAATTTCATTACCATTGATCATTTTTGTGTGATTTTGCTGTCAGCACATTCAACTATGCAAAGAAAGGAGTATTTAATGAGATTATTTCATTCATTCAGATCTAGGATGTTATTTTAGTGTTCCCTTTATTTTTTTTGAGCAGTGTATTTATGTGTACTGCTGATATTGTCTCCTTTATTACATCACACTGAAACATGAGGTTTGAACTGTTTTCGACGTATTTATTTAGCTGCAGATCAAACAGTTTCTGTCTCAAACATTCCACACCTTTATTTTGATGTCCAACAGGTTTAGGAGACCACCAATAAAATAAACAGTCATAAAATCATACAAAAATGACTTTTCTGGTCATGGCAAATCACAAGTAGCTGGCCTGGAGGAAAAACATGAATGTAGGAAGAAAACATACTGGAGGACTAAAAACACTTGGTAGTCTCTGGCAAAAACACATTTCAGTGCAGAGAATAGTGTTCTTTTTTGAGTTGCTTAGTAGAATACCAACCAATCGAAATATTTCCAATGGCATTTAGAATCAGATTTCTTCCGTACATCAAATTCTCTTTGACAACAAATAATCCAGATGCTGTGCTGAGTGTAGCAGCTTTTCCTTGGTTTACTAATGAGAAACTGATCTAGTTGATCGCCTTAAAGACAACTACCTCTATAACTCTGCACAGAAAACAAATACACTCCTCCACTGAACATCTGCCCCAATGCCTTCATGAGTCTCAGAGGAGTCCCTCCATCTCCCTCATAAAGGCTTCATACACCTGGTCCTTAGTCTTCACATTGGTCTGAGACAATGCACCCATATGGGCTGGGTTGGACAAGCCCATCTGAGCCGCAGTTGTCTGCTGTTTCTGCCCCTGTCCCATGACTTCATCTCCCCTCCTTCCTCCAACACCACCCCCTGCTTTCTCCAGAGGCCCAGGTGCTGCCCCGGGCATTGTTCCGCTCTTGTCCCTGCGCACCCTCAGTGCTGTGGGCACAAAGCGGGTGACCTCCGTCTTCGGATTGATAATTTGAGGTTTGGCAGAGATGGTGGCCCCACCAGAGCCGGCACCCGCTGCCAGGTTGCCTCCAGCTGCTGCGACAGAGGTGATGTTGGGTCGCTTTTCGATGGTGGCTGCGTGGTGGTGGCTCTGGGGGTTGCTGCCAGGATTTGCACCTGTGGCGGCAGCTGTCCCCGGGGGAGGAGGCATCTGCATGACACCTGGCCGCATGGGCATGGCAGGCGGAGGCATGTTGCTCTGTGAACCATCCTGGTTGGATCCTGAACCTTTTTGTCGCTGTACAATGTTGGGAGGAGCACTGAGCACGTTGGAGTTGAGAGGTGGAGGAAAGAGGGAGAGTGGTGGGGCAAGTGGACGCGGGGGCCCTCCGGCTCTTGGGGGAGGAGGTGGCATACCTGTAAATACAAAAAGACAGATGTATTTTGATGAGAAAGGTATGAGACATTCCTCTTTGCCACTACACCATCAACATAACGTATGCTTACATATATTAAATGGTGTATAGAAGTCTATTTTAATAGCTTAGTTTGCAGCAATGGCCTTAAAAAGAATATACTTCTTACAATAACAAAGCTGTCAAAGCCCTGACAAAGAATTATTATAATTAATCATGTTCACTCTGTTTGTGTTCATGCACACACATGAATATATACAGTTTACACACTCTGTTTACCTTTTGATTGGAAGTAGTACACATATATGTGCATGCACACACACAGATGTGTTCCTTCATAGACAGTATGTTCACATAAGCCTACCTGGTGGTGCAGGGGGTGGTAGTCTGGGAGGGGGTCCTCGTGGTGGGGGGCCTGGTGGGAGGCCAGGAGGGGGGCCTGGTGGAGGGCCAGGGGGCCGACCTGGTGGAGGTCCAGGAGGCAGAAGACGAGGCATTGGACCCCTCATGCCTCCAGGGATACCAGGAGGCCTCAAGAATGGAGGAGCACCTAAAGAACAGAAGGTATCATCTAAGTGATGTAGAATACATGAGCACAGCCAGCACATCCTTAAAACAACAACAGGTTCTGGAATTTATTCTAGTAACTAGTTCAGATGGAGTATAGCACCAACCTGGTGGTGGGCCAGGAGGCGGGCCAGAGGGTGGACCAGGAGGCCTCATTGGAGGAGCTGGGGGTGGACCCAATGGCGGAGGCCCAGCCATTGGTGGACCTTGCAAGTGTGGAGGCCCTTGCTGTCCCACTGGCCCAGCAGGAGGGGGTAGACGCTGATTGGCCATAAGGTGGGGCTGGTTGTCCCCTGGTGGCCCTCTGTCCTCGATGTCTGAGCCGTCTGATTCGTCTGTGTATTCCTCCTCTACCTCTTCTTCTTCCTCCTCTTCAGGAACTGACTGACCTGAAGACAAAAAACCCCCCATGTGATCAGAAATAGAAACTAAGGTCTAGCATAGTAATAGCTTAGTAAGTATGCAGGAAAGACACTACAAGTACCTGCCATCCTCAACATCATGGCCTGCAGAGGGGTAATGGCCTTGGTCCTCTTCACAATCCTCTTTTTCTTCCTCTTTCCTTCACGGGGTGCCTCTGCAGGCACGTCCGCAAAACGTACAATGCGACCTAAGGTAGTTAGACATTGACGCATTCATTATAACAATATATACGTTTGTTTTAGAACACAAATTCTAATCTGTATAGTTTTTCATTGCAGAGTGCCACCACATCGCAGAAAGCATGTCCAAGTAACAACACAATTCTCTGTAAAAAATATGATTGCTAAAACTTTGATAATAGTGCCATTTTTCTTTATTCAGGGTATATACAGGAATCCTGAAGTAAAAATCAGAATACCTTTTTAAGACCTTTTCAAGACCTTTTCAACATATTTCAAGACTGCCGCGCCACTTTGAGCTGTAACCGATTAAATCAGCCACACACCTTTAAAAGGGATATTTTTGAGTTTTTAAAAGGAATTTATATGTCATCAGGTTGTAACGCCACCTAAAAATTGAGGCATTCACCAACTTTCTCAGTTGCCTATAACAGCCTATATCGGCCAAAGGTTTTCTATGTGAAGGACTGGTCAGATTTCCTGCGAAAAGCAACTGTCTTACATAGGCTATTACAGCAAATCATGTGACACAGTGTAATTTTGTGTTTTAGTTGGTTTAAACTAGATAATGTGAG